CGCTTCTAATTTTGGCCGAGCCTGTCCAGCCCGCCAGCAGCTGCCAAGCACATTAAGTCATGAGAGCGATTGGTGGCGGCCGAGGGAATTCATTCCAGCCGGGCCGAGCCGCGCGAAGCCTGTGTTCTCCCTGGGCTGTCGGCGAGCGGGGCAGGGGCGGCCTCCCGGGACCCCGCCCTTCCCGAGGGGCGAGGGCGACTTCCGAGCGTCGGCCCCTCCCCATCTGCCCAGATGTCTCCCACCGCCCAGCCTGAGAGCCCTGTCCTGTGTGCGCGCCTGTGCGTGTGCGTGTATGTGCACGTGTGTGTGTGTGTGCGCGCGTGTGCACATGTGAGTGCACGTGTGTGCATGTATGCATGTGTGTGCGTGAGTGCACGGGTGCATGTGCAGCCACGCGTGTGTCCCCCAAGCATGCACACAGAGGCATCCAACACCTTCCTGAGGGGTCCCTGCAGCCCCACAGAGGGCATTTCCTTCCACCGGCCTCCTCCAAACGGCTCTGATTAGCGTTAATGATAATTCTCATTAATCACCCTCGGCGGCTGCGGAATGGAAACGCGGCCATGGCCGAGTGACAGGGCCACTTAGGCGGTATTTATGACTTGCGTGTGCAGCAGCAGCTCCGGGCCCTGACACCTCTGGCCTGTGGCTGACATCAGGGCTGACACTCGGGGCGGCCGGCTGCCCGGCACAGAGGCCCTGTGTTCCGTCTCTTTGCCCGACCCCAGGGCCGCCGCCACCCCGGCCCCTCCAGGTGCAGAGCAGAGCGGAGCGGGCGGAGGCTCCCTGTCGGGGCCAGTGGCAGAGGAGGGGGCTGTGGGGAGCAGGCAGCCTGCCCCCAGGCTGGGGGAAGGGCAGGGGGGGCTCTGGTTGCCAGGAAGCCCCCGCCTGCTTCCCAAGCAGAGCCACACACCTTCCTGTCCCTGACCGCGTGCGTGTGTGCGTGTGCGTGGGGGGGGGCGGGGGTGACTGTTCCTGCCCCTGCCCCGTGGAGCCCGGCACGGAATCCTCCACTCCTGGTGGGACTGTCCGATCTCCCGCAGACCCTCAGCCACGCACATACCATGCGCTCAGGCGTGTTTGTGGCTCGGG